ACCGAGAGAACTGTGTGACCAATCCAAATGGAACAATGTTTATATTATAGATACCAGAAGAATAAGAGAGACAAAAAGGGATAGAAAGCGTTACTAAGGGGGTTATTTTTGAAAACTTCCCCATCCTGGGGAAGAACATAGTCTCTCAGGCCATGGAGGTGCACAGACCTCCCAACACAAGAGACCCAAGAAAGACAACACCAAGACATATAATAATTAAAAAGGCAAAGACCAAGGAAAAAGACAGACTATTAAAAGCAGCCAGAGAGAATTAAGATCACATACAAAAGAAAGCCCATCAGGATATCACCAGACTTTTCAGCAGAAACCTTACAGGGAAGAAGGAAGTGGCATGATTTATTTAATGCAATAATATAGAAAGGCCTCGAACCAGGAATACGCTATCCAGAAAGATTATCATTTAAATTGGAAGGAGGAATCAAACAACTTCCACATAAGCAAAACCTGAGAGAATATACCTCCTACAAACCATCTCTACAGTATTTTGGAGGGACCGCTATAGATGGAAGTGTTGTTCCTAAGGCTAAATAGCTGTCACTAGACGTAATAAAAAAACCACAGTTTTAGAACAGTTCATTACTAAGCAAATGCAAAATTAAATCAACTACCCTCAAAGTCAGTAAAGGGACAAAGAGTACAGAACATGATATCTAATATATAAAGAATGGAGGAGGAAGAAAAAGGAGGAGGAAAAAAAAGAGAGAACCTTCAGATTGTGTTTGTAATAGCATACTAAGTTAAGACTCTTAGATAGTAAGGAAGTTACACTTGAACCTTTGATAACCATGAATCTAAAGCCTGCAATGGCAATAAGTACATACCTATAGATAACCACCCTAAATGTAAATGGACTGAATGCACCAATTAAAAGACATAGAGTCAGCGAAAGGATTAAAAAACAAGACCCATCTATATGCTGCCTACAAGAGACTCACTTCAAACCCAAAAAAGAGACTAAAACTGAAGGGATGGAAAAAGATACTTAATGCAACTAATAGGGAGAAAAAAGCTGGAGTTACAGTGCTTGTATCAGACAAAGTAGACTTCAAAACAAAGAAAGTCACAAGAGACAAAGAATGATAAAGGGGTCAAAACAACAAGAGGACATAACCATTATAAATATCTATGCACCCAACACAGGAGCACCTACATATGTGAAACAAGTACTAACAGAATTAAAGGGGGAAATAGAATGCAATGCATTCATTCTAGGAGACTTCAACACTCCACTCACTCCAAAGGACAGATCAACCAGACAGAAAACAAGTAAAAAGACAGAGGCTTTGAACAACACATCAGAACAGATGTAAGTAACAGAAATCTATAGAACTCTACACACAAAAGCAGCAGAATATACATTCTTCTCAAGTGCACATGGAACCTTTTCAAGAAGAGATCATATACTAGGCCACAAAGAAGAGCTTCAGTAAATTCAAAAGACTGAAATAGTACCTATCAGCTTCTCAGCACACAAAGGTATGAAACTAGAAATAAATTATGCAAAGAAAATGAAAAATCCCACAAACACATGGAAGCTTAACAATATGCTTCTAAATAACCAATGGATCACTGACCAAATAAAAACAGAGATCAAGCAATACTCAGAGACAAATGACAACAATAATTCAACACTGCAAAATCTGCTGGAGGAAGTGAAGGCCGTGCTAAGAGGGAAGTATATTGCAATACAGGCCTACCTCAGGAAAGAAGAACAATCCCATATGAACAGTCTAACTTACAATTAACAAAACTAGAAGAAGAAGAACAATGAGGCCCAAAGTCAGTAGGAGAAATGTACTAAAGAGCATAAATAAATGAAATTGAGAATAAAATAGAAAAAAAATCAATAAAAGCAGGAGCTTTCAAGAAAATCGATAAACCCTTAGCCAGACTTATCAAGAAAAAAAGAAAGTCTACATGCATAAACAGAATCAGACATGAGAAAAGAAAAATCACTACATATGCCACAGAAATACAAAGAATTATGAGAGAATACTGTGAAAAATTATATGCTAACAAACTGGATAACCTAGAAGAAATGAACAACTTTTTAGAAAAATACAACCTTCCAAGGCTGACCCAGAAGGAAACAGAAAATCTGAACAGACTGATTAGCAGCAATGAAATTGAACTGGTAATCAAAAAACTTCCTAAGAAAAAACTCCTGCACCAGATGGGCTTCACTGCTGAATTTTATCAAACATTTAGTGAAGACCTAATACCCCATTCTCCTTAGTTCTCCAAAATGTAGAAGAGGGAATACTTTTAAACTCAATTGTATGAAGCCAGCATCACTCTAATAACAAAACCAGGCAAAGACACCACAAAAAAAAGAAAATTACAGACCAATATCCCTGATGAACATAGATGCAAAAATACTCAACAAAATAACAGGAAACCAAATTCAAAAATACATCAAAAAGATCATTCATTATGATCAAGTAGGATTAATTTCAGGGATGGAAGGATGGTACAATATTAGAAAATCCATCAACACTATCCAGCACATCAACATAAAGAAGTACAAAAACCACACGATCATCTCCACAGATGCCAAAAAACCATTTGACAAAATTCATTCACGATAAAAACTCTCAACAAAATGGGTATAGAGGTCAAGTACCCCAACATAATAAAGGCCATATATGACAAACCCAAAGCCAACATCATACTTAACAGTGAGAAGCTGAAAATTTTTCCTATAAGATCAGGAACAAGACAAGGATGTCCACTCTCTCCACTTTCATTCAACACAGTTCTGGAGGTCCTTGCAATGGCAATCAGACAAAGAAATAAAAGGCATAAAGATTGGTAAGGAAGAAGTTAAACTGTCACTGTTTGCAGATGACATGATATTGTACATAGAAAACCCTAAAGAATCCACTCCAAAATGACTAGATCTAATATCTGAATTCAGCAAATTTGCGGGATACAAAATTAATACAGAAATCTGTTGCATTCCTATCCACTAACAATAAACTAGCAGAAACAGAAATCAGGAAAACAATTCAATTCACAATTGCATCAAAAATAATAAAATACCCAGGAATAAACCTAACCAAGGAAGTGAAAGACCTATACTCTGAAAACTACAAGACACTCTTGAAAGAAATTTAAGAAGATACCAATAAATGGAAACACATCCCGTGCTCATGGATAGGAAGAATTTATATTGTCAAAATGGCCATCCTGCCTAAAGCAATCTACAGATTCAATGCAATTCCTATCAAAATACCAAAAGCATTCTTCAATGAATTAGAGCAAATTGTTCTACAATTCATATGGAACCACAAAAGTCCCCAAATAGCCAAAGCAATCCTGAGAAGGAAAAATAAAGCAGGGAGGATTATGCTCCCCAACTTCAAGCTCTATTACAAAGCCTCAGTAATGAAGACAATTTGGTACTGGCATAAGAACAGACCCATAGACCAATGGAACAGACTAGAGAGCCCAGATATAAACCCAACCATATGTGTTCAATTAATAAATGATAAGGAAGCTGTGGACATACAATGGGGAAATGACAGTCTCTTCAACAACTGGTGTTGGCAAAACTGGACAGGTACATGCAAGAGAATGAAACTGGATTATTTTTTAACCCCATACAGAAAAGTAAACTTGAAATGGATCAAAGACCTGAATGTAAGTCATGAAACCATAAAACTCTTAGAAAACAACATAGGCCAAAATCTCGTGAATATAAACATGAGCAACTTTTTCCTGAATGCATCTCCTCAAGCAAGGGAAACAAAAGGAGAAATGAACATATGGGATTACATCAAACTAAAAAGTTTCTGTACAGCAAGGGACACAATCAACAGAACAAAAAGGCATCCTAGAGTATGGGAGAATATATTTGTAAGCAACATATCCAACAAGGGCTTAACATCCAAAATATGTAAAGAACTCACATGGCTCAAAAACCAATAAGCAAATAATGCGATTAAAAAATGGGCAGACGATATGAACAGACAAGTCTCCAAAGAAGAAATTCAGATGGCCAACAGGTACATGAAATGATGCTCCACATCGCTAATTATCAGAGAAATGTAAATAAACGACATGAGATATCATCTCACACCAGGTAGGATGGCCAGTATTAAAAAGACTAAGAACAACAAATGCTGGTGAGGATGCGGAGAATGGGGAACCCTCCCACACTGCTGGTGGGGATGTAAGCTAGTTCAACCATTGTGGAAAGCAATATGGATGGTTCCTCAAAACACTAAAAATAGAAATATCATTTGACCTGGGAATTCCACTCTAAGGAATTTCCCAAAGAATGTAATTTTTTAGATTCAAAAAGACACATGCACCCCTTTGTTTACTGCAGCACTATTTATAATAGCCAAGATATGGAACAACCTAAGTGTCCATCAGTATGAATGGATAAAGAAGACGTGGTACATATACACAGTGGAATACCATTTAGTCATAAGAAACAAATACTACCATTTGCAACAACATGGATGGAGGTAACAATTTGCTCCAATTTCTATGCAACTTAAATGTATTGAAGTGCCATTTGCTAGGCAGTTCCAGTGTTAGGGAGCCTAGAACCTCCATGTTAGAAAGTACTCTGCTGGTTTTGTGAGCAACAGAGGATACTGAAGTGGCAGAAATGCAGTAAAATCTAGTTATCTAGTTTTAATTTGGCAACATTTTACCAGTACTTCTAACAAAAATCAGAAAGGAAGGAATATGCTGAGAGGAAGTATTTCCACACTTGAATATTATTACCTGGTAGATGCAAGAGTAAGGGATATAGATTAGTAAGAGTGAAATAAACTCAGATTATAATAAAATTAAATCTCAGCTGGTGAAGGGGCCAAACACAGGGCTTGGGAATCCCATTTGTAAACTCAGTCTACACTGTTATGTACTGACTAATGATCAGCTCTGGTTTCTTACAGGAGATATGAAACATCACAATGACTGGTTAATCAGTTCTCCATGATATACTTCGTAGGATTACTCACGTGATATCTCTGCGTTGATAGCAGCCCTGAAGCAGGCAGGCAATCAGGTCGCTGATAAACTCTACATCATCTCTGTGAAGAGCTGCTTCTAACTCCTAAGAAAGGGAAGGAAAGAGACACTGAGAGATCTAACACAGACAGGCATTTCTTAGAATTCACCTCCCCTTCTGTCTGTCCGTTCCTCCATCATCATTCCCTCAGCCCTCCAAGCAACAGAATGGTCAGTGTAGCCAAAATTCCTGGCCATGGATCCATGCTGCCATTCCTCCCACAAGTAGCGCTATAAGAGCAGCTGGAATCTAGCTTTCCGTTTTTCCATAGGTTTATTTCTCCCAGTGCTCCTCACTAAGCTTCATTCCTTCTGTCTGCGTGCTTCTAGAATCTCACTTGTATCTCTTTCTATAAGTCAATACTGGTTGTATAATTACCAAGGAGCTTAACATAAATGTACTGTAATGCTTTCTATTTTAATGGCAAGAGAATAGGCAGCAAATATATAATTAATTAGAAAGCATTCTTCATTTACTTATCAGTTTCAGCCTGTAAACCACTTGAACAGTTTTTAAATAACAACTGTATTTTGGGGGAAAAAGAGCATCGATAGTAAGCAAAATGGCAAATTTTTATTTTGAGGACACTCCACCTACATGACTGATGACAGAAGATTGCTAGAATGGAGAGGAATCTTATATTATGTGGAGAGAAGTGAGGTATGTCTACGTTAATGGTCTAGTTCTAGGTGAGTTGTATCTGCTTTCCGTGGGGGGTTCAGGCAGACAATGCCAAAGATTTAGCTTGTCTCAGCATAGGATTCTAAATAAGGATTAGTTGAGAGGAAGGACTGGGACAAAAAGTGACAGTAGGACATGTCTCTTCTCAATCTTCCATAATACACCAGTATTTTCTGAGACGATGGAATGTTTCTAATAATCGATTCTTATCACGCAAAGTTTGCTTCATTCTTCCAACCAGGATGCCATCTATCTTCTGCACCCAAGTCCTTCTGCAAGGGTCTGCTATGCTTATGGCCTGACTAGCTCATAATCTGACATATAATTCACAGAAAACCCAAACTTTCGAGGCTCTTATTAACGGTTCTGAAAGCATGAGATGTGCATAAAACAATTCCTGACCTTCAAACCAATTACACTGAAGACAGCAGTGCGCTTCTAACTATAAAAACAGTAAAGTTCTTCTGTAAACTATTTTAATCTTCTCATTCATTATTTCACTTTTAAATTCCTAAGTCTGTAAGCACTTATCCTAAAAACCTCACAGGACAATGAATTGCTAAGTTTAGTAAATGACACAAATAAAATACAAGCTACCCTGAGGCAGGTCACCTGAAAAGTTGAGTATCTTATACTCACTGCCGTGACGCTCAGGTGAATGAACTTAAGATTCAAAGACAAGACTCAAGCCTGAAAACATTTTGCTTGCCTTAAATACAAATTTGGGGATTATTAACACTTCTAGAGCAATGCTTCTTATTTTTATTATTAATTCCTGAGTTCTTTTCTACATTCTTCTTAGGGATCATCCAGGAAAATCAAGAAACCCTGCCAACCAGACATTAACTGAATTCTAGTATCTGAACTATACTTGGTTGGAGTTCATTCTACAAATATTTACTGGTCACTCACCCTGTGTTAGACAATACAGTACTTCCTATGCACTGGGGAACTTCGTTTAGTTAGGAGTTAAGATAGTACAAAAAAAGACAGACAAAATAATTAGCACTATTACGTAGAGAAAAGGTGCTACAGGTGCTCCGGGACTGAGAAGAAAAGGACTGCATCGGCTGTGGGAAGCCAGGGCTGATTTCATGAAGATGGTGGCACCCCAGGGGAAAACTATGACCGTGTAACAATGGGAGAGAGGCAGGGCACAACCAGGTGCAGGGAACAACACCAGCAAAGGCACCATGATGATATTAGCTTCAGATTAACTCTTCCGTAGATTGAGAGGGGAGTAACATGAGCCAAGATTGACAGCCGATACTGACCACCAGGCCTTTCTTTGGAAGACAGTGGAGATACACCACAGTGATTTTTATAGAGGAGAGGCCCAGTGGCTGCTGTAGATGTAAAATAAATTCTTCTGGCAGAGGGGAGGGAAGGTGATGTTAAACACAAGCAACAGTCCAGCATAAAGGTTCTAAAGGACATACAAAATGAGAGAAACAGCAGGAATGGACAAACATGAACTCAAGTTCTGACAGAAGTAAAAGAGAGACAAATCAAGGGAAGATCTAAATGGCTCATATTTTAAGCCTGGTCACTGGGCAAGACTCTGAAGTAAATTGCAATTATAACAGAAACTGACCCCTGGAAGCAAAAGTCCCAGGTCATCTCACTCAATAGATAAGCTGGAATTTCTGAATAGCAGAACTGGAAGGTAGACTACACACCGTATTATTTCAACTCTCTCAATATAAAGATAAACAAACTAGGTCCAGAAAGGTTAACTGACCTCTTCTACTGTACCCAGCGAAATGAGTGACAGAGCTGAGTGAAATCCATCTCACCCAGTCCAGTGCTCTTCCCACTGGCTCATGCTCTCCTGGGGAGGTCTGAGTGTTTCACAGCCACCGCCAACACCCCCCACCTCATCACTTCTCTGAGCCCTGACATGGACCATTCTCCTGTGCCAAGAGAGACCCCTTCCCTCCTCCCCTCTCCCAAGCCACACTGGGATACTTCACACACGGTGACACATTTCTACTCATGTCTGTCCCTTTTCCCCCAGTGTACATTAAGGGCACACTGCAATTTCTGATTAAAGGTGCTGTAGCCTGTATAAACTGATGCTTCCTAGTGTTTTCTTTCTTCTTCTTTTTTTTGGTGTACAATTTATCTATCTATCTATCTATCTATCTATCTATCTATCTATCTATCTATCTATCTATCTATCTATCTACCTATCTACCTATCTATCTATTATTTTGGTATCATTAATCTACAATTACATGAAGAACATTATGATTACTAGGCTCCCTCCTTCACCAAGTCCCCCCCACATACCCTTTCACAGTCACTGTCCATCAGCGCAGTAAGATGCTGTAAAATCACTACTTGTCTTCTCTGTGTTGCACAGCCCTCCCTGTGCAACCCCCACACTATACATGTTAATCGTAATGCCCCCTTTATTTTTCCCCGCCCTTGTCCCTCCCTTCCCACCCATCCTTCCCAGTCGCTTTCCCTTTGGTAACTATTAGTCCATTCTTGGGTTCTGTGATTCTGCTGCTCTTCTGTTCCTTCAGTTTTCCTTTGTTCTTATACTCCACTCATATATGAGTGAAATCATTTGGTATTTATCTTTCTCCACCTGGCTTATTTCACTGAGCATAATACCCTCTAGCTCCATCCATGTTGTTGCAAATGATAGGATCTGTTTTTTTCTTACGGTTGAGTAATATTCCATTGTGTGTATGTACCACATTTTCTGTAGCCATTCATCTACTGATGGACACTTAGGTTGCTTCCATATCTTGGCTATTGTAAATAGTGCTGTGATAAACATAGGGGTGCATCTGTCTTTTTCAAACTGGGCTGCTGCATTCTTAGGGTAAATTCCTAGAAGTGGAATTCCTGGGTCAAATGGTATTTCTGTTTTGAGTTTTTTGAGGAACCTCCATACTGCTTTCCACAATGGTTGAACTAATTTACATTCCCACCAGCAGTGCAGGAGGGTTCCCCTTTCTCCACAACCTCGCCAACATTTGTTGTTTGTCTTTTGGATGGTGGCGATCCTTACTGGTGTGAGGTGATGTCTCACTGTGGTTTTAATTTGCATTTCTCTGATGACAAGCGATGTGGAGCATCTTTTCATGTGTCTGTTTGGCCATCTGTATTTCTTCTTTAGAGAACTGTCTATTCAGCTCCTCTGCCCATTTTTTAATTGGATTATTTGCTTTTTGTTTGTTGAGGTTTCCTAGTGTTTTCAAAGAGCAAAAGTATAAAATTCAAGTATGAGAAGGGCCACATTTGAAGTGGTATAAACTGGGAAGGCTTTAACCAAGGAGGGTACAAAGGGAAATCTGTCACAGATCACTGTGTGGGTATGCCAAGATTTCTTGAAGCCACAGGACACACATGGATCACTTCTATTCAGTAATACATAATTAAAAACATTAACCTTATAAAACAATCATTTAGATTTAGAGCAAAATCTGCACTAACTTTTTAGCTAAGATTCCTAGAAAATGTTCTTCATACAAGAACAAGTTCAAGCTATGCTAATTGCCTTTCTTTTCCTTCCACCCACATTCTCTTCCGGCTTAGGTGGAAATGGTTGACAAGAGTGTCTCTCCATCATTGTCACTAGTTGTCTAGTTTCTACACATAATTTTGTCCTCTGAGGAGGCAAAAATATTACACTGTAGCAATAGTTTCTGTTCTGTTTTCTTCCCCAGGGCCGTACCTATAACATTTGCAAATAGTAAGTGGTCAAAATAACTAAAAAAAAACACATATAGTTCACCTACCATATGCCAGACAATACAGATACAAAAGTGAGTAACAACATCTCAGTAAGTTTATGGACAGACAGAAGGGAGAAAGTGGAGAGGAAATAAGGGGTGAGGGAAGGCTAAAATGTACATGTCTCCCTAGTAGAAAAATGCCTGATGCAAAGTAGATATTCAAATATTTTCTAGATTGAACGATAGCCAAGAATTATGAAACAATGCAGTAAGTGCTATAATAAATACACGAAGTTATATAGGAAAATAGGAAAAATGAGAGAAACTGAGGATAAGACGGAGTAAGGCTTTGCCAAGGAGGTAAGGTTTGCACAGTGCCTTGAAGGGAGACTCCCACCTGCAGACAAATGGTGAGGAGCATGTGGAAGTTCACAGCATGTACAGAAAGTACCAAATGCTTTCCCCAAATTGCAGGTGGTAGTTAGACAACAGCAGACAGGACAGGCCTATTCCCTGAGGACCTTCTCTGAAAACCACCCAGAAGAGTATGGATTTGACTTCATAGGCAATCAAGTCTGACTAAGGAGAATGAAATGATCAGATCACCTAGAATAGTTCTGTGAGCAGTATGCAGCATGACTAGGAGGAATGTCAGAGGTGGGGACCACACTG